AGGAATAACTTGCTGGATTTTCCAGTCTGACCAGCCTCCGTGGCTCACGTTTTGGCTTTCCCCATGTTTGATGTAGTTGGTGCAGGCTAAATATACCAAATAATGGTGTATTTTGGGGAAAACCAGTTCTGGCACCTGCCTGTAACATCTGCAGGAACGGGCTTAGCCTCTCTACCCTTGCGTACAGTTCAAACCCAAGCTCGTTAAATATTTATACCTCATACTGTGGGTCTTATATCTGTACAGGCCCTGTGACAGCGCAAGTGTTTTCAAACCCCGTTTGGCTGTGGTTTCTAGACTAACCCTTCCAAGTGCTCTTTTACCCCTGCAGTAATTCTCGCAGCAGCCGCCTGCCTGCGGAGGTATGTGACGGAGGGACAGAAATAGCAGGGTTTTTTGGGACCAAGTCCCGGCTGAGGCTGGAGGCCAGAGCGTAGGGGTTACTGCAGTTAAAACCTTGTATTTACTCTACATGGGCAGGAGAGATTTTTATGTATTTTTAAAAAAAACATGTGAGTGGAGCCTCCACCCTTGCAAGGCAGCGCACCAAAGGCCTGGTTCTCCCTTGTGCAGCATTAGCCCTTGTAGGCTGTTGCAGAGGGTGTATAAAATCCTGCCAGGGAGGGCTGGATTCTAACCTGCTGCAATAAATAAACACCCCCTCTGTCGCGCTGAGCCCTCTGTAGCACCAGGAAAAGTTCCCCATGGGGACCGGGTACTTGCTTGGCAACAAAGCTTGCAATTTACATCAACCTCCTGCAAAGCACTGATGTTTATTGTAAGCGCCCTTTCTGATTCTCTTTGAATTCCCCCTCGTTGTTGCTTGAGTTAAACCCATCTGTTCGCCTGGCGTCTTGGAAGGGAAAAGAGCACGTGGTGCTGCTGCGGGCTGGCGTCGGCTCTCAGCAGCCACGAAGCAAGCGACGCTGCTGGCAGGTGCTGCCGGCTTTTGCTGCAACTTCTGGTTCCTCCCTCTGCTGAATTGCCTCCAGCTGCCGAAGGACTTATCCACCCCCCTCCTCACCCCCAGGCTGTGGGTCTCGGTCCTGTTTAGGACCAAGTTATGACAAAAGTGTCTTTTTTTTTTCTTTTTTTTTTTTTTTTTCTTTCTTTCCCCTAGCAAAAAGGAAGCAGTGCCATGTTTTCGCCCATCTTCAGCTGCCCTGCAGGCCTGTGTTCCTGACTGCTGCCCTTGGGTGCAAAGTGGTGTGGTCCCCATTCATGGGGGACAGTGTGGGCAGTAGGTACTTGGTTCCTGTACGTGCAGTTTTTTGGCCGTGGTGTCTGGAGGGAGGTGTGACACCAGAACCAGCTCAGGCAGAGCAATGGTTACTGAGATCATTGGGTTTTGGGGTACGTGGCTCACTGGGAGAGGTGGCGGGAGCTGGGTCTCCCTCTGGGCAAGAGGGAGCTGAGGGGGTCTATCAGCAGCCTGTGGCTCCTGGCCAAAGGCAACTGAGCTAGTTTCTTCTTGGATGCAAGGGGCAACAGCCATGAACTGGGGCTTGGGAGCTTCAGGCTCCTCACCTGTGAAGGTGGTGTCACCCTAGACAAGGTGTCAGCAAAGTTGGAGGCTCTGTCCTTGGAGAATTGCAGGACTCAGCTGCAAAAAGCCCTGTCTGGAAGCCCTTGGCCGGGGCCAGTGTTGGTCTGTGGGGGCTGGCGAGGGGACGCTGGGGTCTGTTCCCTGCACTGCCACGGCTGCCCTGGATCCTGCAGGACTCTTGCTTTCCCAGCCTGCTGTGGCTGTTGCCTTTTCAGGGATGCAGATACCACCTTACTCGCAGGAATTCCCACTCCTGCCCAGGACTGCCTCCGCATTGCTGAGCCTTTTGGTGAAGGGGTGCAAGCAGGATTTACAAGGTTGTTTTGAGTGGGGAGAGATCTCTTCCCCTTTTGTCACTGATCCTGGGTCACTCTCGACAACCCTGCCAGAAATCTGATTTAGGGTGCTGTAGGTGAGATTGTGGCTTGATGGGCACAAATGCAAAAGGGGAAGGAGTTGTGTGCAGCTGCAGGTCTCAGCTGGAGGAGCTTAGGGCTGGCTCAAGTTGCACATCCAGAGTTAGCAGGGTCCAGGGAAGCCTTGTTTAACCCAGTGCCGTTCTTCAGTCTGTAAAACAGGGGTATCCAGCTCAGAGGGGTGCCAAAATTGTGCTAATATCTCGGTAACACCCTGAAAGCATATGAAAATGAGCTTTGAATAAACTTGCCTGTTTGGGATGGATATTTGATGTGCACAGCATGAATGAAACGGCCCTGTCCTGGTGTGTTTTCAGCTCTTTTCTTTCTGTTTCAGAGCACAATGTTCCTGGTTGGACTCTCGGGTGGAATTGCCTCGGGGAAGAGCACGGTGGTGGCCGTACTCCGGGAACTGGGCTGTGCCGTGATTGATGCCGATGTTATTGCCAGAGAGGGTGAGTTTTGCATAGTTGATCTTTCTCCCTGAGGTTCCCCTGACAACTGGGATTGATGCGGGGAAGCGCAGACAGCAGAGGGTGCTCTGGGTATGTTAGATAAGTGTTTCCCTCCCATTCCCCGCTTGATGAGGCTGTGTGGAGGAGCAGCTGTCTCGGGTGGGATTGGAACTAGGATATATTTTTAATAAAGAAAAAAAAAATAAGATCATGTCCTAATAAACACTGTGGGGAGATCTTGCCTTGCGTTTCCCTCTCCTGGAATGCAATGTTTCCTGGCTTTGAAAGCCAATTCTGGGCAAACTAAATGTGGTTCTCTGTAAAGTAGGTTCCCTCGGCTGATCTGATGTCCCCTCCTAAGCCCCAGGACACCCATCCTGTAAGGTGGTTACGTTAGGTGGAATCACTAATGCCTAGCTTGAAAGAGAATTTTCGTCTGTGCTGGATGTTGCTTGGTTGTAAATATAGAGAGATTGGTCCACAAAATTACTTGTGCCTTAATGTGCTCAAAAAAAGAGGCTCCAAATATCCCGGATGAGAGGGAATTCGGTCTGTGCTTCCGCACAGCACACCGGCCTCTCGCTGCTCTGGAAACGTGCTGTCCTGGCTACAGAAAAGACCCAGCAATTCAGATCCGTTGCCTCAACAGGACTGGGGCAGACCCTCCTTGCCCCAATTACCTCCACAATGCGGGATGAGATGTTAATCCCTTCGTTCCACCGGGATAATCAGGAGAGCAGTGCCTGCTCCAGGGAGGGCTGCTGATTTTGTATGCGGAAGGTTTCGGGTCTGCAGCTGAGCGGTGGTGCAGGCGGTGTCATTTTGAAGTGCCTGCGCTTTTCTATTTGGTGAAGAACTTACCATGTAGCCACTCAAAGCTGTGATGCTCTTAACGTTTTATTACACTGTAATTCCCCTCAAGGTGTGGAAAATTTGCTGGAGGTGCTAAAAGCCCTCAGAGATGATAGGAAAACACTACAGATACTCAGTGTTAGTTTTCTACCAATCACTTCATTTTTCTCCAAGTACTTTTTTATATGTGTTTATTTACTATATGGATTTCACCCATCCTGAAACTACCTCGGTGTAAAATTTCCACGGGAGAAAGAAATTGGTCTTAAAGACTTTTATTAGGTTGGCCTGAGGTTACAACCTGTGGCAATGTTCCTGGATTTTGGCGAGAAAATTATATATGGTCTGTCATGCTCTGTGGTTAGCCTCAGCTTGATCTTAATTATGGTTTTATTACAGCATCCTTTTTGGTGGTGATTTTTTTGGTGGCTTTAATATTATATGCTCGTGCAACGTCAGAGTCCCTGCAATTACCTATTGGGAATTGATCTCTTAGAAGGTTTCTGTGTTCATTCTCATGAAGAATTTGGTGACTAACATGAAAGACAGTTAAAAAACCCCTCAGTAGCAGCCAGAGCCAACCTGTAGTAGCCAGGCTGTATTCACCTAGCACTGAAGTTTTTAGCTAAAATAAACCTGATGCTGAACCCCGTCCTTTTAGGATCTCCCTGCTCGACTCCTCGCCCTGCAGGCGGTGGGAATTGGCTCAGCCCTGTTCCTGGTAGCTGTCAGCAAGCCCTCCTGCCCGCCCTGCTGACTTCTAACCCCGAACAGCAGCATGCAGGAGGAGGGTTGTGGCGCTGAATTAATGCCTGCAGGATGCTTCGATCTCTTGGGTGTCAGCCCTCAAAGGGACCTTGGGCCGAGAGGGTTGGGTTGTTTCGGTGTTTTTTTGGTTTTTTTTTTTTTGCAGATGCTTTCCTGCAGCACCGATGCCAGGTGTCTGCCGGGCTGCAGCGCTGAGCCGCGCCGGTCTCGGTTCAGCGGGTGCTGGCAGGCAGATGTGCTGCCCGCCGAGAAGAATAAGCTCGGTTATTTAATGAACAAAACTCATTTGAGGCCGATCGCTGATGCAAACACCAACTGTGCTGTAGAACTGGCTCTAACCTCCGGCTGTTTAATGTTATCAGTGGTGCAGCCTCACTTCAAGGCCTATCGGCAGATAGTGCATTACTTTGGCACCGAGATCCTCTTGGAGAATGGAGAGATAAATCGTGAGGCTCTAGGAAACATTATCTTTTCCCACCCGGGGAAGCGGCAGCTGCTGAACTCCATCACCCACCCGGAGATCCAGAAGGAGATGCTGAAGCAGATCTTGAAGTACTTTGTGCTAGGTAAGAGGCCAGGCAATTCCGACATCCCGGCACACCAGGACTCCTGCTCAGGCAGGAGCTGACCCTGATCGCTCTGACTTTGGTTTTAAAGTGGGGAGAGGGACGGGGAAGGAGAAAGGGAACCGATGTTGAGTGACGGCCTTTGTGCTCTGCCACCAGTGGCCTTTCACGTTGGCGTTTGGAGGATTCATTTTTGCCTTTCACTGCTGCCCTTCGCCGCTGCCTTCTTCTATGGTTTAAAGTACATCTGTAGGGTCTGAGAAAAGCATTGTGAGGCCTCTTCTGAGATTACTTGCTGGATAATGTCATACCTTCCGAAACGGCCAAATATTCTTCCCTGCCCCCAACCTCCCTGGGCTTCGATGAAAGCTGCAGAGCCCTTTTAGTCTCAATAAGGTGAGAAATGGGCTGACAGCTGTGGTTTCCAAAGTCCCGCTTTTTCCCCTGATAAATATAACAAATACAGCTGTCAAACGTCGTCTAATCAAATGCCAGATAAGATCACCAGCTGTTTTGGAGGTCTCCATGTAGACAGAAGGGTGTCTTAATAGAGTCAGTCTGGTTTCACAAAGCTTATCAAAGCTGAGCCCTGTGACAGCTGAATAGGCCTGTGCCGGGGCACTGCGGGGGCTGTGCTCTGCTGCGGGGCGAGGAGGAGGAGGAGGAGAAGAAAGTGCAAAGGAAGCAACAGGCAAGAAAGCAGGGAGCCAGAGATGGAGTCTTGAACCCAGGGCTGCGGGCTCGGGAGGCGGATGCTGTCTTGCCCCTCGGCGAGAGCACTGTGTGTCTTCAGCAGGCTTCTGTGTCCTCATTAGTCAGGTTTTAATGATTTGGGATAGCTGGATGTTGTCTCTAAGGATCGCTGTGTAAGGAAAGCTCTTATCGATCAAACCGTAGGGCAGCGAAAAGTCTCTCTGGGCAGAGATGCTGGTAAAATGGTGGCTTGTTGGACGATAATGTCTTTGCAAAGGCTTTTATTGCTGTGGCCAGCCCAGTTAGGGGGTTTGGGTTATAAAGAGGGGACACCAGCAGAACTGGAGGTGTCCCTGTGGCTGGGACACACACAGGGGAGTGAGGTCCTGACTTGCAGCTTCCCCCTACCCTTGCCCGCTCCTCCAGGCTCAACGGGGCGTACCCCCACATCCCCAAATGCTGCCACATGGCACTTGTGAAGGGCTGAGGTGTGTGGAGACCCTGGGGTGGGCTGCAGGGTCTGGGAGGACAGCAGCTGGCAGTTACAAGCTCTCTTCTGCTGGCTGCTCCCTGTGGTGGTGGTGCTTTTGAACCAAACTTGGCCAGTTTTGGTGAGGTTTTAGGCCCTGGAGGCACCCCTGTGTTTCAGTGTCATGGCTGTGAGAGGTCTGCAAGGATTTCCTTGCTCCCCTTGGAGAAAATGGAACTATTTAGCCAAAGCTTTCCATGAAGGGAAGAAAACGCTGGGAAACATCAGCTCAAATGTCCGCAGCCTGGCAAAGTCTTGAACAAGTGAAAGAGAGGCGGGCAAATGCTGCTGTGGGCACTTCTCCCCCGGAGAGGCCAGCAACAACGGCGTGACTGCCGCTCTCGCCAGCCAGGCACAGGCGCTTTCATTTGAGCTTCTCATTTCAGCTCCTCATTATATTTCTGCAGCTTCACCTTTGGTCTGAGATCATCTAGGTTAGGGTTTGTTTTTAGTTTGGGGTTTTTTTTGTGGTGGTTTAGTTTTTGTTTGGTTTTTTTTTCCCGCCTCTGGAAACTTGGAACAAAACCATTTCTTCCCTCCAAGAGGGAGGAGGGCAAGCAGGCTGTGCTCTCTTCTCAGCTGCAACTGCAGAGCTGTAGAGCTCTCGCACTTGCTTTGCTGGGGCAGCCGGGGCTGCAGTACCCATGCAGCATGAGGGATTTGGGAATCTGAGTGATGCTATTCCCTTCTGGGGGGGGGCATTGTCATTTCTGCAGGCTACCGCTATGTGATCCTTGACATCCCTCTGCTCTTCGAGACCAACAGATTGACCAAGTTTATGAAATGCACGGTCTTGGTTTATTGGTAAGTGCCACGTGATCCACAAGGACCGGGACACTGCCACCTCTCTTAGAGGCTGGAGGGGACCCTCACGTCCCTCCTACTCCAGTGAGGATTTAGCTTCGGCCTTGGTACGAAGCCTTTCGATAACACCGCTTCTTTTCTGTAGGCGTGAGAAGCGACACCTCCCTTTATCCTAGTGTACGAGGGGCTTCTTGCTGAGGTTTCCCTGAAACCTGGCACCATTGTACGGGGGAAATCTCTGTCTTTGGGCCTTCTATAATCTGTGCTTCATTGGCTGGGGCAGGGTTTGGGGCGCTGACCCAGTGATAAGAGCCATGGGAATGCCAAAAACACACAGCGGGGTCAGCCTGGGCAGTGCTGGAGGTCCTGGCTCTACTGATCCGAGCACAGGACCCAAAATGAAGTGGGGAGTGTCTCTCCCCCACACTTTACCCCAGCTTTTCCCCCTGGTGCCGAGGAAAGCAGGTGAATCCCCTCTTCCCTCCTGCACCCCCATCTCAGTGCTGCCCTCCCGTCCCAGCAGTGATCCGCCGACACAGCTCTCTCGGCTGATGAAGAGGAACGGGCTGTCCCGGGCGGAGGCAGAAGCTCGCATCGCCTCCCAGCTGCCGCTGGATGAGAAGCGCAAATTAGCGAGTCACGTCATCGACAACTCCAGGGACCGGGAGAGCACACGCCGGCAGGTCCTGAGGCTGCACGCCTGCCTGGAGGATTCCCTGGATTTCCTCTGGGCACGGCTGGCGGCAGGCACGGTTGTAGCTGGGCTTGGAGGGCTGGTGTACCTCCTCCTCCGGCATTTCATGTCTTAATTCACCTTTTCTTTTTGTCATGGAAGAGGCCTGAATTTCCAGGTTTGAAAAGGGCAGTGAAAGGCCACCTCTTTTAATGAGCTTTGCCAGCTGAATGCAGACAGTGGGATGAGGCGTCTCCTTACAGACTTCCCAAGGTGAACGTAGAGAGGGTTTTTTTCCAGCACCGTCTCCCATCTCCCTTCTTCCTACCCATCACCTGTAGCTGCAGGGTGGGACTGCTCCCCATGTGTGGCTGCAGCCCATGAAGGGGATGAGGCCCTCATTATCCCCCTATGGCTCTGTGCGGTGGGACTTCAGGGAATTTAGGCACTTTAACGTTTTCCAGGACAATCTCTTCACTGGGGGAGTAGGTGGCCTCTCCGGTCCTGTTTCTGCTAGCGAGTGTCCCCAGGTTGACCCCCTCTGAGCTTGCAGCCCCAGCTATCTGAATTTAGACATGGGATTTCCCTTCTTTCCCGTTGATTTAATGGAAACATGTTAAATCTGCGGGGGGGGTGGGGGTGGCAAGCAGGCAGCACCTCATTTCACAGGGGTGAGGTGTTTGGCTATCTGCTCGCCCTCCCTCCTGCTCTCTATTTCTGCCATCATCGCTTGTGGGTCACCTTTGGCTTTGGAGCTGAGGGTCTGATACGTCCCCGGAGCAGGCTGAGACCTAGGACCTTCCCTCATTGAAACGCATTTAGTTCTGGTTTGAGTTTTCCTTCGGCGGCACTTTCCCTGTGGGGAGAGCGCAAGTCTGGGCGAAGCGGGTGCTGGCTCTTTACGTTCGTTTTAATAAAGCGCTAAACATCAGCCGGCTCCCCGCGGCTCTGCAACCTGCGGGCTGCCAGCGCTGTTCTTTCCTGGCCCGCTCCCAGGTTGTTCCTATGCCGGGGCACGGCTGCACTCTGTAAAGTTCACCACACGCAAGCAGAGCTGATGAGCCCGCTCGTGCTTTTTCCCCGGTACACATCCCTGTAGCGGTCCCAGGGAGCTTCTGGGAGCATCAGCCCCTACCGTGAGCTTACCTGGGGGGGGCTGCGGCTTCGTGTCGGCTCTGAGCACTCCACGGTGTGGGTCTCGCTTTGTGGGATGCGATCCTGGGACTTGCTGTGGTTTTCTGTGGTCAGTGCTTCCCCCCGGGGTAGCCCTGTCCCCTCTCACTCCCCCCATCCCTGTGTTTTGAGAATGGTGGGTGTCAGCCCCTGCACACAGTGGTCCCCAGGCTCCTCCGGGATGCTTGGGCTCCGATTCCCCCTTCCCACCCTCCTGCCCAGGCGCGTTGGCCCAGCAGGCAGGGACACAGCCAAGCGAAGCAATGTCCTTGCTGTCCCCAGTGCCAGCCTTTGGGCACAGGGACATTTTCCAGGGTGTCACAGCCTTGCCCAGCCAGCACGCGACCCTTTTTTTGGGGCCAAGCATCCTTCCCACCCCCTGCACCCTCCTTCAAGCCCAGCCATGCACCCAGGGTCCTGAATCTCGCTCACCTGGGGGGACCTGGTTGTCCGAGTGTAGCTACAGCCACCTGAGAGCATCCCCGAGCTGTCCCCTACCCCAGGTACCCCAGCTTTTCAGGCAGCACTGAGGGGGGGAGCCCCACGCAATCAATAACCCTCTGCCAGTCCCCTCCCCTGCTTTTAACGCTCTGTTAATTGCGGTGGTGACGCCGGGAGTCCCTCGCAGCCAGCCATAAATCAGGGCTGGAGCAGGACGGCCTCAGCCCGCGATAAGCTCTGATTGCCTTCCTCCCTCCCGGCTCGCCGCCTCCGCCAGAAATGGGGCTGCGATGAGGCCGGGGGGGGAGAAGGAGAAAGCGAGACGGGCACCGTAATCGCATTTGGCGCTTTGCTGCCGGCCTGCTGACGTGTGCCAGCTGCTAACGAGTTTAGCAGGGCCGAGGGAGCGAGGGGTTTCAGGGGGACGGCACAGGGCTCCCCACGCTGCCGGACAGGGCTGGCGTGGCCTTGGGGTGCCTGGTTTGGGAGTGCCTGGTGCCCTGGGCTGAGCTGGGGGTCAGGTCCCCTGGGTGGGCTGTGTGCCCGGGCATTGGCACCCACTGGGGAAGGGCTCCTGAGCCTGGAGTCCCTCTGTGGGTGATGATGTTCCTCTCATGGGTGCCAATGTCCCTCCCATGGGTGCCGGTGTCCCTCCATGGGTGCTGGTGTCCTTCTGTAGGTGCAATGTCCCTCCCATGGGTGCCAATGTCCCTCCATGGGTGCCGTGTGGTACCCAGCCATGGCAGCTGCCCCCACATTGCCACAGCACCCACAAACCTGCCCAGGTTCTACTCCCGACCACCCCCTAGCCAAACCCCCATGGGGACGAGCTGGCCTGACACCCTGTGTCCAGGGCAGTGGCCATGTGGCTCAGCCCGCAGCTGTCCCCCCCCAGTGACGGATGGCCCCACTCCGCAGGCTGCTGGGTGGCATCGACAGCTCAATCGATGGCCGTGGAGGGGGCCTGAAGGGCAGTGCGTGCCCAGCCCAGGGGCGGACACCCTGGCTGAGCCCCCTCTGCT